AAATTCCGTTAAATTAAAATTTTAATTTACCTAATTATCCATTTGTTTTCCGACAGGGAACATATATGAAACGAATCACCGGTCCACATTTTGATTGAGAGCCGTCACAACCAACGAGTGACCGTGTTTACTCCTTTTTTTCAACCATTGGATAGTGTATGGCTAAAACACAGCTGTTGTATTTGTACTTATGACAAAGCGCTGCAAACTACGCAGCAAAAGTAATAAGTAGAATGCTTTCTTTAAAAAAGCAAAAGAACGCATGCACGTTTTCTTAATATAATATTAAAAACTAATAGACTGATGAAAATGCGGGACATTTCCTCAATATGCGACGTGCGGGACAAGAGGTGAAAATGCTGTGCAGTAGAAGTGCAAAGCGGGACGGGTGGTCACCCTAGATACAGCACTTGCCTCGAGTACCTTATTGCTTTTATAAAATGGTTTCCACACAATATTAACGTAAAAAAACAATGTATTAGTGCAACTTTCTTGAAGTAAAATCACTAAAAGCCTTCCTTCCGTTAGAAAAAAATAGAGCGTGAACAGCAACAACGTTCCAATGTGTAAAATGCATGAAAGCTCAAATAAAAACAACATAGAACCGCAGTGTTGCGCAGCGATCAATAGAACCGTTGGGTGTTTTATCGTGAATAAAGCACAGCTCTTGACCAATCAGAATCAAGGTTTCAAACTAACCGTTTTATAAAAGTAAATAATACATACACATTTGAAGGCCACATGCTTCTGATGACAGTCATATAACTTGTACTTTTGATGTCTTTACTATAAGTAAGACTCATTTTTTATTACATGCTATAATCTTTTAAAAACACGTATACCCATCTGTATGCTGGCATTGAGTTTGATGGCTTTGGAAAGGATGAAGATGGTTTGTGTTTGGGGGCTAGGGGTCTGGCTGAACTCCAGAATGGGTTTATTGCTTTCATATTCCCTTTAGAAATTCTTGAGGTTTGAAACTCTTCCCAAAGCCTGGAGCTAATTTAGTTTTTAGACTTTTCCTTCTAATTCCTCGAGACTAATTACAGCCCTATTCCCGCAATTAAATCGATAAACTCCTCTGTGCTTAGTTGGGCTTGCAAAAAGAAGCCCCAACCCCTCTCCTCTCCTCTCCTCTCCTCTTTTTAAAGGAATGTTCAAAATTGATCTCAATCAACTGCACTTGTGACTGTTTACTGCAAAAAAATAAATAAAAATATCCTTCATTTTTAATAAAGTGATGAAAAGTGTCACAGCTGAGACACTTACAATCAAATTAAATGGAGCCAAGAAGTAGGTGAACATCAAAAATATTGCAGTATTTCAGCCACAGAATGTAAATAATGCGTGTTAACGTGATTTTAATCTGAATAATTGTATCTAAAGTTATAAAAGGCAGTATAATATTCACATAATCCTTAGTTACATATGTTACAAATCTTTTTTTTTTCAATTTCACCTTTAGATTGACTTTCTAAAGGTGTATTATAAAGTTTTATAACTGTGATCACAATTATTCATGAGACCATTAAATGCATTATAAGGTGCATTACAAGGCATAATTCATGTAGGCCTATTAAAACAACTTTTATTATGCATTATATAAGTACATTTTTAGCCAGTTGTTTTCTAATTTCTTTTTTTTTACTGAATTTTTATCAAATAAATGCAGCCTGAACAGTTTTACACACGGCCTACTACACAGAGGAACCCTAAAAATAACCTTCAACCGAGACCAAAATTCTTCGACGGCCTCTATGCCTTTCTCATGTTTTTTTCTTTTTCTTTTTGAAATTTATCACTCCTGGCAAAGATGGGGCGTTTGCCTGGGGAGCTGTCCAGAGGTCAAGCAGATGTTCCTCATGGTGCTGTTCCGTGCACCAGGACAGATCTCAGCTCATTCAGCACGTCATATACCTCTCTTTATCTCTCCTTCTCCCTCACTCCACCTCTTCTGTCTGTCACCGCACAATAGTACACAGGTCTCTGGCTGTAGTTCAGATTGGCTTTCTGGCTCTCTCTGCACAGCTCGTATGGGGTCCATCATAGCTGTGTTGTGATATAATGATTTAATTGGGTTTGCCAGCACAGAACACCTTTGGGAGAGTGAGAGAGAGAAATAAATGGAAAAAAAAAACCCTCACAAGCATGGAAATGTAATGAGTCTGGGCTGTCTAGACCGTGTGCTTGGCTGTGTGGAGCTGTACGGCGAGTTTTTCAACATATGTGAATGTTTATCCCTCTGAAATGGAGCATGTGGACCCAGGGTCCATTTGGAGCCAAAAGGGAGGACTTTGAGAGCAAAGTCCGCCCAAGTCAAGCAAGACGACATGCAGAGAAACTCACAACGCAATGCTTTATACATTTTCAAGAGCGTACACACTTTTGCCAGCAATCAAATGAAACTTAAACACATTTACTTTTTCTTACCACATTTTGCTCACATTAAAGATTGCTTTAATTCTCTGTAATTTCTATAATTTGCAACTCATTCTTTAAACACAGCATTTGAAGGAAATCAAGCACATAACACGTACTGTATTTAGAGTATCCTGGATGAAAGGTTAGCTGGCAGAAGCTGACAAGACTCCCCAGAGTTGCTATGGCAGCTGTGAAGTGTACATACTGTGTTATTTCTCCTGTCCACTACAAGACTAACACTACTCCAATTATGTTTGCATGTAGAATAATGATCTGTTTATAATCAGAATGATAGCTAAAAGTTCTACAATAAAAACACCAGAGAAATTTGGATTTGAAATTAAACTTTTATGTGATTTGAAGAAGCATATTCAGAAGGCGCATATTTGAAAATAATTTGTTACACTAAGAATAATTGGTTTGTAAACCTATACATTTTAACTGGTGTCAACTTGCATATACGCACAAGGCAGTGTGTGTCTTTGCAGAATAACTAATCACTTTTAAATGTGTTTTTATAAATAAACATAAAACACATATTATTGGGGTAGAGGGGCTCTTATTTTATTTTCTGCAAGAGCCGTGTTGTCTTTAATAAAATCCATTGCCCAAAAAAACATGTCATGTTATCCTGAATCTGTAAATTCCAAAACTGTGAATTCCAGCAGGACATATCTCTCCCACCAGTCTTTGCTACATACTTTTATCCGATCTTTAAATGCACAGATATTGTATGTGTACATGTGATGCAGATCTGTACCTACAAACAGTGTGTTCGCAATCTGCAATCAGTTTTAATTTATTCATACACGTAGACAAAAGATCTGTGCATGTAAAGAATCACTGTATGCTAAACATTAAAGTTAGGACTTAAAATGAAACTTTATTAATGCTAACCATTTGAAACCACAGAATGCTAAATTGTTGCCATATTAATATGATATTTATATTTTGGCAGATGTACTATTATGGGTTCAATATGCACACTCTGCTGAGTCTGCATACTGCATGACAAAGTATTTGATCCCCGTAAAGTCTGACTTTGATGGTCTGCATTGCTTTTGTATGTGTGAAAGTGTGTACATATGTTGTCTATAAGGCTAATCTCAGCCATTAGCTCTCTATTGTACCTCCTGCCCATCTCCTCTGATGCACTGCAGTGGGTTATATAAACAGTGGAAAGCTGACACCTTATTGTGTTAGAGGACCATGTGTAAAAATATGGTGCACAGCACACATTCAAAAAGGCTTTCAGAAAACCATCAGGACAGAGTGTTAAAGATGTGTTTTGGCAAAGATCGTGTGGAAGGTTAAATTTTGGAAAGGCCTGTTGTGATACTCTTTTTCCTTTCCTCTCGCAATCTGCAGTCTTGCCCTTAAACTTTATTACCTCATATGTTCTCCCTGTGAAATGGGATGTGCATATCAATACAGCTCTGAGGTTTATGGGCCTGTCTTCATCGACAGAGAGATCTTTGTTTCTTGAACTCTCAAGGGGGGAAAAACGCTCCACCAGTTAACAAAAGGGGTTTGTATTGTACATCAGTGTAGCTCCCACAGAAAAAATCTGCCACTTTCTCTTTGTGTCTGTTTACACCTGGCCACTTCATGCGTTTTCTGTGATCGGATAGCTATCCGATCGTGAAATTACTAGGTGTAAATGCCCTCCGGAACGCATTTGAATCCGATCACTCAAACCGATTCAGGAGGTGGTCTGGGCCACGTTCCAGACGAAACTGGACAAGTGTAAATGCATCTGGTTGTTGAAACCACATGTGAATTTTACTCATCCCAAAAATGCTAAAAATAAATGTATGACAGCGTATTATATTGGCTATATGTCATGTTATAGTCAGATATGACGCCGCAACTGCAACACGCATTACCGCAGCTGACTGAGCATTCATCGAGCCAACGTACAAACTAAAACTAACTCCATTAAATCTGCATATAGCGGGAATTGAAGATCGGATTTATATCCGTTTTGTAAAAACACATTTATGTGACCAGGTATAAATGGAATCGTTTTGATAAATCAGATCTGAGAAAACGCATAAAGTGGCCAGGTGTAAACAGCCCCTTTGTAATACGATTGTTAAAAATCATGCGTACTTATGAATTATCGTGTTGACAAAAGCCAAAGTGAAGTCAAAGTGATATAGAACTGGAGTTATCAAACCTGTAACTACTGCACTTGTTTAGTTAGAATCCATCAACCAATCAGAATTAAAGGGATACTCCACTTTTTTTTTTTTTTTGGGGGAAATATCCATTCAGCCAATTTTCAGATATTTAGAAGAATATCAGTAACCAGACAGTTTCTGGTCTCATTGACTTCCATAGTATATTTTTTCCTACTATGGAAGTCAATGAGACCAGAAACTGTCCGTTTACTGATATTCTTTAAATATCAGAAAATCGGCTGAATGCATTCGAAAACGGTAAAACTCAGCTGTTTAACTCTGGGGGAGTGGTAAAATGAGCCTATTTCCAAAAAAAAGGGGAGTATCCCTTTAAGAATTTAACAACACTGTGACAGACAATACATGAACTGTTTTATTTTGTTGATTTTGTCTTAGGTTGCAGAGGGATCTGATGTGCATTTTGAGGCAGGAAATTTCTCTGAGTCATGTGAGGTGAAGATGGAAAACCTTCCTCATGGCAATGAACACCTGCTTTCCTGGGCCCATCAACGCTACCGTGCTGTTACCTCTTTCAGCGAGCTCAAGATGACCCATGAAATCTACATCAAGGTTGGAGAGGGTATGTATCTCTGAGCATGCACAATGTTTTACCTATCCCTCAAAATCTTTTTTTTTTTTGTTTTAAAACTGTTATTGATATTTTTTTATGATCATCTGACACTTTTTTTAAATCAGAATTTTTTGTGAAAAAATAAATAAATAAATGTTCTTAGTTACAGTTTATTTGGACTAAATTAAATGTTGTGCCATTACCTCTGATCTTCAATCATGGCCCTGCACATGCTAATTCACTCTCAATGTTGCCTATTGGACTACAAATGGTGCCTATTGACTGTGTTTAGTTACTGGACCCATGGGGAATAATGCAAACCCCAGTGAAGCCACCTCAAGTCATTCCACTGGGCAACATTCGGTTTCATTTAAATACAACATGGCGAAATCTGTGGGCTTTCTCTGTGGGCTTTCATTCCTAATCAGTTGATTTGCTTGCATGTCAGGCTCATAAGCAGCCGCGAGATAGAGAACTGATGGAAAGGCCAAGTAAACATACGGGAAGAGTTTCAGATGAAAGCCCTGACTGCCATCTTGTTCGTATGGGCCCTTTGCCAAATCCGAAGCCTTTCACAACAGTTCTTTTTAAAAAGGGAAGGATGAGGGAGAAGGAGCAAACCTAGAGGAAAAAGGCAATGAACAAATGGAAAGTTTGGCAGGGAGGGTATAGAAGAAGCATAAAAGAAAATAGAGCCCAAAACAGAAAGTCCAAATTTATAGCAGTACCAGGATTCTTCTAAGAAAGTATCTTAGCCATCTGTCCAATGACATGAGCCGTAGGGCTGGAAATTGGCTTATTCTCAACGGAAACGGTTAGGGGGGTTTAACTTGGACTTTGAAATGATCTTTGAGTCAGACAGGGCTGTCACATTCAAATAGTTTGTTGTTTACTCGTTGAGAGCATGAAACAGGGAAAGCAGAAACAGATACTTGCAAATGCGTGCCATTAGCGCAGCAAGCCGCAGGGATCGTTTAAAGAAAGAAGAAAAGGACAGATCCTGCTGTGTGTTTCACCCAGGGCTCGATCGTGTTTCCCCCGCTGAGTTCTAAGACCAAACCAGCAACACGTACGTCTGACTTCAGTATCTATCAGCTGTCAGGTTGCCCGGTTAAACTGCTGGTGCTCGTGTTTCAGTCCGTAAAAGAACACGAGATTCTAGCACTGGAAGAGAGGAATGACCGCATCATTCAAAGTATGCTTTCCAGTCTCCAAGCTTGTTTCAGTCAGTCCCGTAAAACATTTGGCCCAGCGGTGTTTGAGTTTGAGGTTTGGCAGTGACTCAAAAGGCTGTGTTTACCTCTACAGGAGAGTTCTGGCCTTCTACTCTATCTCAACCCTTTGTAGCTCCGCATGAGAGCGGACATGCTTCCGATCTGTTTGCTGTAAAGAACAGGCAACCCTCTTTCCCCCCAGAACCTCAAAGAGCCAGGAAGAGCAGACAGTAAGAGATGCCAGCCTTACATGAGGAGTTGACACTCATCACACTTGTGCTTTGTCCAAAAACGTAATAGCCAAATAAGGAAGCATCTGTCTTCTGTTTCTCTGGGGCAAAGCGAAGAGCCATCATCTCTTTTGTGGAGGAGCAAAGAAAACAGTGTTCAAGAGTGGAGAGGATTTTTTTTTGTTGTTGTTGTAGTTAAAGTAATTAATCTGCAACAGGACAGATCAGGTCAGGCTGTGTTTTATTATTGAATTATGATGGATTTAAAGTGATTAAAGTGGTAGTATTTGGCCGTTTCCAAGATTATAAACATCGACTGGCAATCATGTCCTATTGGTCGGTCAGAAGTGTCTCCCTACTTTGACAGTTCCAATTTTCACTGAAAGGTTTGTCAATGAATGCTTTTTTTTAATTTTTTTTGGTGGGTAATTTTGAGTAAATGTGCAACTAATTTGCCAGCATTTAATTAAATTTTACACTACTGTTTAAAAGTTTTGAGTCAGTAAGTACTTTTTTTCTAAAGGAATGAATACTTTTATTCAACAAGGATATGTTAAATCGATCAAGAGTGACGGGAAAGAGTGTTACTTTGTTACAAAAGATTTCGGTTTCAAGGAAATGTTCTTTTGACATTTTTTTTTTTTAATTTCTTCAATCCATTTTTTTTTGCACAAATATATTAAGCATCACAACTGTTTTCAAAGTTGATAATAAGAAAAGTTTCCTGACCACCAAATTCAGTATATTAGAATTACAATCATGTGACACTGAAGACTAGAGTAATGCCTGCTTAAAATGCAGCTTTAAAATTTTTATATAATAATAAAGAAAATTATTATTTTAAATTGTAAATGTAATGCTGAAGCAGTAATGAAGCGAAGAGAGAATCTACTTTATTAACAAAACAAACAAAGAGATCCAGGACAAACAGGGAATCTCAGGACATGAGCATATTGTATCAAACAACTGGCCAACCACAAAAGAAACACAAGGGCAATTATTAAACGAGCTAACAAGGGAACAACCATGACCAACATGGAACAACCATGTTGGTCATGGGAACACATGAGGGTAACCAAGGGAACTAACAAGATACACCTGGGTAGACTAATCAACATGGAAAAACTACAAAACATGGCACAAGACAGGACATCCTCACACAACATGGGGACACAGGCTGGGGTCATGACAGTAATATTTTCCTATATTACTGTTTTATTGTGTTTTTGATAACTAAATACAGCCTTGGTGAGTATAAGAGGCTTTCCAAATCATTCAAATATCTTTGGCCACTCCTAAAAAATGTTCATCTCCAGTCTGTTTCTATTACTGCTCATGTACAGTGGTCTGAAACACAGACAAGTCAAGTGATACAAACTGCGAAACGTTCCAGTGCTTTTATACTAAACATACAATTTCAGGACTGTAACTAAATGCTTGTTAAATATTTGTCAGCCAAACTTTTCTTTCTCCTCAAAGTTTCTATCAGCCCTTGGCCTAAACATTTTTCACATTTGTTTCAGACCCCGTCTTCTCCGAGACCTGTAAGATTGATAACAAGTTCCTTTCTCTGAACTACCTGGCCAGCTACGTCCAGCCCCAGCCATCCACAGGGTGTGTTCTCTCAGGTCCTGATCATGACCAGGAGGTCCACATCATTGAACTCCAGGCACCAAACTCCAGCAGGTGAGGAGAAGACTGTTGTTCTGTTGTACAAGTCAAGGATTAAGTCAAGGGCTATGTACATGAGGCAGTTGATTAGCAGCAAAACCGGCGACAAGACAGCCAATCAGCATTATGGTTTCATGACTGAACTTGGTATTAAAAACAAAAGTGCATTAAATAATGGGAAATGTACACTATTCTTCAAAAGTTTGGGGTCAGTAGGATTTTATTTATTTACTTCAAAAAAATTAAATACAAGGACCGATTAAGAAATTAAATTAAGAGATGTACTGGTTGACCAGTCATTAAAGGGTTAGTTCACCCAAAAATGAAAATTCTGTCAGTAATTACTCACCGTCATGTTGTTCCAACCCCGTAAGACTTTCGTTCATCTTCGGAACACAAATTAAGATATTTTTGATTAAACCTGAGAGCTGGATCACTCTTCCATAGGCTTCTTAAGGGATCGAAACTGGCCGGCCTAAAAGTAATGAGAAAGAAAAGTTATGAACCTGGAAGCTTTGTGTAGTTTCACTACATGAAATCTCAAGGCCAACACAGAAGGAAATGAATAGTTGAAAAGTCGTTATTTTTTTATTTTATTTATTTATACATTTTTTTACATTGGTTTTTGTAATTTTACAATGCAAAAAACAGACCATTTATTTTTTTCTCTAATTAAAAAATAGAAAAGAAGAACAGCAGTGTATATCATTTAATCTGCCTTTGAAGGCCTGAAGGCCTCACCAGACAACAATTTAATGTAAAAAATTTGTAAAAATTAATACGAATAATTTTGTTGCTGAGCATACTGTGCAGGATATTTTTGTCCATGTGGGTGTGTTAAGTATAGCATGGTGCGTGTGTGTGTATATATATATATATATATATATATATATATGTGTGTGTATATAAGTGTTCATGGATGGGTGTGTTTGCTTTTGTGTGTAAATGTACGTGCTTGTCTCTCTGTATTTGTAATTTTAGGTTGTGATTGTGTTTCCTCCGGTTTTGTACAGTTTATTTGGAAATAGGCAGGAACTGGGGTATTGTTGATATTGGAAAACTCTGCAGGGTAAAACTGTCTCCGCCCACAACAATATCACTCACTGTTGCCTAATAGTGACTTAAAAAATGAAAAACAGATCTAAAGATATGCTAGCATCATGATGGATGCCAGCACTGCGTTATGTGGTCTGTTTCACATGTGTCCAGCTTTGTTTTCTAGGAAACGATCCAGTTTTTTAATCAATTGGCCAGACGGAAAGCATGTTAAAGCTGAAGTTAAAATTTTTCAAGATTCTTATGGCCTTCCTTCCATTTCTTCTCTCTCCTGTCCCCCCTCTCTCTCTCTCTCTCTCTCTCTCTCTCTCTCTCTCTCTCTGTCTCTCTCTCTGTCTCTCTCTCTCTTCCAAGTAGTGCATTCCAAGTGGATGTGATCGTGGATTTAAGGCCGCTGGATGGTGACGCCCCACTCCATCGTGACATTGTGTTGCTTCTGAAATGTGAGAAGTCGGTGAATTGGGTAATCAAAGCCCACAGCATCAAAGGCAAACTGGACATTGTGGTATGATGTTTACATTTTTTAGCCATATGCAATATGTGAAAAAAAAACAACAACAACAAAAAAACAAAACAATGGTCATGAGGGATATGCAGGTACATTATGTATAAACAACACTTGTCACATGTTCCTTCAGAAATCATTCTAACATGTTAATTCAGTACTCAAGAAACCTTTTATTATTTTTATCACAGGTAAAAATGGTTGTGCTGCTTAATTAAGCGTGGAAACCATAATACAGTGTATTTTTTTCAGGATTATGTAAAGAATGTTTAAAGAACAATTGAAATTCTGTTATTTATTTTGATCAAGTGAATACTGTATGTCCTTGCTAAATGAAAGTATCTAATTCTTCTTAAAAAACAAAAACGAAAACAAAACAAAAACCATATTGATGATTCCAAAAGTTTAACTGATAACCACCCCTTAACCTACGCCTGTTCCATGTACTTACCTTATATTAGCCAGTACTTTCTAGGTAAGTACACTATAAGTACTGTACTGTAAAAGGAAGCGTTACCTGATTTTTATTTTATTTTTGACGTTAAACTATACGTAATGCTTACTCTTCAAACTGTGTGAAAAGGCTGAGCAAAGGATAGCAGGTGGAGTAATAACAGAAGGAGTGAGTGAGTTTTTCTTCAGCCAGAGCCTTTGGAGTGTTTTTATTGTAGCATTGGCCTGACACTTCAGAAAATGAATTATGAGAGCGTCTGTCTGCTGGTTTCAGATAGCACAGCATAACATTCACAGCACTGAAACTGTCACTACACTGCACAGCTCTTGGAGAGCGACTTGCGCACACACTGTGTGTAATTTATTGCTAAATATTTGTGCATTTTTATGTGCTGCTTATAAGGAAAAAAATCCACACTGTCGTTAGAATAAGACGCATTAGTTTAAGAGTTTTAATGTGTTTACATGATCACTTATATATATTTTTTCTAAGCTGGAAAAGTGTAATGTAGACTACAGTACTTTATATACAAATGCAATGCAATTCCTTTACAAACTGATCTCTCACTGCATACACAAAGATAAACACCAAAATAGTACCGTCACGCTTAGCCTACGCTCAAGGCAAGACGACGACGCTGGAATATAAATGTAGTTTATAATCCAAGCACAAACAAACAATGTGCATATCACAAAAAATACTCCAGGAATGGAAATTAGGAACTTAAATACACAATGATTATCAACTCAAAGACTAACAGGTGTGACCGTAAATGAGTGACCATGACAACTACTGTAATTGGTGATGGGAAAAGAAGAACAAAGGAAACCAAAAATAAGTACAATAGACAACTTACAGAGGCAATGACAAGATTCCGCAAGTAGCAAGTAAACACAACAGTGTTCCTTGCGCTGCAGTAAAACTCTAACAGAAATGTACGTGGAACGTCATTTGCATCACTTTTGTTCAATAGCACACATGGATTTAGCTGGTTTTGTAGCAAAAGACAGTTAAATTTGTTAAATATTTTTGAAAATAAGGCATTTCAATGACTAACTAATAACCTCTTCATTGCCATTAAATTGAAATTACTGAACCAAAACATAGGAGCCTGATTAAAAAAAAAACAGCATGTTTTGCTAAATGAAAATACGGTAACACTTTACTTAAAGCCTTAATGAATAATGAATTATATAAAAGTAATGAATTAAAACATGACATACAACCAAATTCAGATGTAACAAGGGATATGCAAATATTTTAATGCATTTTATCTTTGATTACAATTATTTATGAATGAGTTTAATAAAGATATAATGCATTATAACATACATTATGAATAGCTTTGTAATGCATAAAGGACTCCCCGGTATTGTATCTCAATTGGACCTTCCTGGTTAAATAAATGCATAATTATACATAAAGGCTTTAAGTAAAATTAAGAATTAAAAATTCTTATAAAGTACAAATATTTGAAAACATATACGTATATTTATTTATATATGAATGGTATAAATATATTGAGATCCTTGATCTACAGTAGATGCACATGTATGTAGATCAAACCATTAGGAGTGGTCCTGCTTTATGCTATGGTGTTCTGGCATTGACAATCAAAGAGTCATAAAGTTCATTAGAGAATTTTAATATGAATGTCTAAGTGTGTGTGTATAATGCATCTGTCGCCATGAATGTGTTACACTTGTCCGTGTCTGAGTGAATCAGTTACAGTGTTTAAGAGTGTTGGAGAATGTTATGCGTAGGTTATGCGTGTGATACGATCCACAGCCTTGTAAAATCAAAGCCCTGCTACTGTTGGCATATTGGCTCAAGCTCGTTGTCCCGCCTGGAGACGCAGTTGTGGGAAACACGGCTGGGAATGAAGAACATCTGTTCTTCACACCCAAACTGAATCTAACTTTTAATTCTTATGTAATTTGACCAAGATCTCCAAGCATTATTTAAGCTGAACTTGGAAAATGGTCTCAATCTGTCAAAACTACAAATGTATAATGATGTGCCAAAATAAAATTTTCTTTTCATACTTGCCAATGGAATGCGATTTGACAAGAAAAAAAAAAAGATTCATATTCAAAACACAATCATATTTTTTTAAGATTATCTTATTTATTTATTTTTTTTGTGTTGCTTGTTTTATATTTGACCTAAAACAAGATTATAAATTACTTCTGTTGGTAAATCTATTCTGAAAAGGTACAATTTGTTTGGCATTTGGACCATATCATAGTTCTTGTGGATCAGTCAATTTGATTCAAAATATGCATGCATATTTTTGGCCTTTTTCTTTACTTCAACTTTGGTGAGTGTTCATTTTGTACCTTAAAATAAGGTATTAGATCAGAATATGTTGTCAGTGAAAACAAGAAGAACCTTAGCTTATAGGTTATAGTGTTGTAAAATGTGTCTCACAAAAAAAAAATATTTGAACTGAAGTAGATATAATTTTATTTCTGTTCTGACTATTATTTTGTCTGTAAAGAATGAACAAGGTGTGACTGCATTCCTCTGTTTCTGCATGTGCAGTGAATATGTTATCTTATTATTTCCCTTTATCCTTCTCAGACGTCAGATACCGTCGGCCTGAGTGATGACACTGAAAGACTGATGCAGGTATCAAAGACGGTCAAACAGAAGTTGCCCGCCGGACCTCAGGCTCTGATCCAATGGGCAGAAGAAAAAGGGTTCAACCCCGTCACTTCCTACACCAACACCCCTGTCGCCAACCACTTCAAACTGCGCCTCAGAGAACAAGGCAAGAGCAACAACTGAAATATGAATAATATCAACTTAAAATAGTTCAAATAAGATTAATTAATTGATACACAACAACAACAGCAACAACAAAAATAATAATAATTCAATACCCACACTTGCTAAGGCCTGTTTAGACCTGATGCATTTTCTCTGATTGGATAGTTATCCGATCATAAAAAGACCATGTGTAAATGCCCTCCCAAACACTCAATCACTCATACCACTTCCGGAGGAGGTCTGAGACACATTCCAGGCGAAATTGGACAGTTGAAAGTGCATATGGTTGTTGAAACCACATATGTAAATTAATTTTTTTTCCCCAAAATGTTAAAAATAAACATGTGAGAGCATGTTATAGGCTATTTGACATTATATCCAGAAATGACAGCATTACTGCAACATGCTTAAACGCAGATGAGTAGCTGAGCATCTCTTCAGCAAGGAGGCAAAGGAAATATCTGTTGCTTTTGTTGACATCGGATCGGATTTATATTCGTTTTGCGGAGACACATTTATGTGGCCAAGTGTAAATGTAACCGTTTTAAAGCAGCACTTTGCAGGATTTCCGTTTTTGTCATACTGTGACCCCTAGAGTCGCTGTGGAGTACTTGTACTGTTGTAAATATGGGACGAGACACACAACATTCAACCTGAAAATAGTCATATAACCATTGCAATAACTAAAAGCTATTCAGTTAGGTTAAAAAAAACTGCATAGAGCTGCTTTAACAGATCAGATGGATATCCGATTAGAGATAACGCATGAAGTGACCAGGTGTAAACAAGCCAATACATTATGGATCTCATTATACAATTTTGTACTGGAAAACAAGACAAAAATACTTATTTACTATATATATATATATATATATACATAGTTTCCAGTATTGATAAACAGTTATACATACAGTTAATGTCAGTTGGTTATAACTGTGTTTGCTTTGTGTGTGATTTTATTGATTTACATTACCAAGAAGTTGTCAGGCAGTGTAGATTGATGTTTAAATCTCTTTTTCTTGATCACTTACAGATCTAGGGCACATTGAGGAGGGAACGTTCCCACCTGAGCTGTCCATTCTCCGCAATATCAACCCAAAGCCCAGTGCCCGAGATTCCCCTGCACGGACTGGGTTCCAGTTCCCCTTTCTGCGGTCCAAGGAGCAGGGCCTGTCATTTTCACACCCAACGCCATCTCTTGAGGATGAGGCCAGGGGTCTCGAGGAGCATCAGGGATCTCCAAATGTAGGATTCAGCGTGCAGTGTGAGAAGAACAAAATGGTGGTCAGCATTGACAAGGAAACTCTGCTGGTAGGAAACACAAGTGACAAGTGCACAACCTTTTGTACATGCAAATATTGGATGAGCATTGCAGATTAACTAACTAAAACTAGTGGGACTACTAATGCAACTTTTAAGTTGCTCTTATGTTTGTTATGTTTTTCAAGACTGCATTTATTTGATAGAAAATACAGTGAGCATATTGTGAAATAGTATTATTATTACGATCCTTTAGAAATCATTCTAAAATGCTCAAGAAACATTTCTTCTTATTATCAATGTTTAAAACAGTTTTGCTGCCTAATATTTTTGTTGAAACCATAGTACATGGTTAAAAAAACAATGTCAATGAAATGAAAATTTCAATGAAAGTTTTTTTTTTTTATTCTTTTTTCTTTTTTTTCTATTAGTAGGTTGTAGTGTAGCCAAATACTTATTTAAAAAGGGTGGCTTGAGTTTAGTCACACTATAAACTAATGTTTCAAAGTAGCTTCCCTAAAACTGGTAAGAACTAGACGTTAAATGAGTGCAGAAATGCTGTGTGAGAGACACCTTTTTTTCCCTCAATCTGATGCAGTGTGAATATTCCCAGAATGTGTGTGCCATATGCCATATGACGTCAGAAACCAGAAGTTTAATATATGTGGTGTAATATACCACTTCAGAGAGAGAGAGAAAACCCTCATTCTACAATCAAAATGCTTTTGAACAAAGTTAGACCAGCTTGCAAGTCTTGTTTTTCATAGATAGATGAAGATCACGAAAGCACTATAGATTTAGAAAGCAATATCTTGAGGACTTATAATAGATTTTGTTTGATATGTTGTTAAAGGTTGATATTTTTCTTGTGAAAGTCATGTTTTCCTAATGTCCTCACAGGCCAATGGGTTTGGAAAACCCAATATCACTCTCCAAGACTCCCAATGCAAAGCAACCTCCAACGCCACCCACTATATACTGGAGACGCCCCTGTCTGGCTGCCAAACCACCAAAATCCCCTCCCATCCCAGCCCAGTGGTCCTCTATATCAATTCAGTGAGTTCTAAAGCCAATATACAATCAATAATATCAGATGTGAAATCTAGTCCTAGGGTCAGTTGGGGGGTCCCCTCTAACACGCTGTATTTGTTTTCTGTTTCCTGGTCCTGCATGTGTGTTTTCACCCAGCAGGGATGATTCACTTCCACACTGATTTTTTGCGATAATTTTTAGTGGAAATTCCTAAAAACACTTTTAGCCTTGAACTCATAAAAAAAACTGGACAACCTCCCAAATATGTATCTTTTACTCTGAACTCTGAGCCTCAAGGGCAATTACAATGATGTGACCCGTATGGTCAGAGCACAGTACTTGCTCACAGAGCGAGATCAACAGAGCATCAAAGGAGGATGTTGTTGCAATGACAATCCTATGACAAATTGGCAAGTCTTGTGTGAATCAATTTCACCTCAATTTGACAATGTTCACAGGCCTCTTTCACCTTTGAACCCATAATCTGTTCTGAGCTCAAGGAGGCGTTTCTCATATTATAATGTTAATGGATTGCCGTGTTTTTTCCGATGAAAAGCACTGAGAGTTTTGGGGATCTGCCTTGGGAGTTTCATTGCTGAAATTGTGCATTCCCATGTATTAAATCCAGTTTTTTCATATGTTTTGGCAGACCTTTGGCAAGTATAGATTTCAATTATCTCTGACTGTGTCTGTGTGCACCAGAGTGAAGCAATGTCATTTCTAAGAAAAGTTTTGTTGAGGAAATTGTATGATTGTTAGGAAATTGTTGGGTTTACCTTACTTTATTACTGAGACGTCATGAACTAAGTGTGTCTGTGATTGGCAGATTGTTATTAGCCAATCGGAACTGAAGGACGGAAGCGGCTGGCCCGTTGATGATGAAGATCTGGAGTCAGGAGATGTTGTATTACCAGGAGATCTGGATGTGACTGGAAGAATTTTACCAGAAAGTGGGCCTCGTGCGTCTATCTTGGTATGATATTCACATTAAAACTACATTATTTATAAATGGTACTACACAAATAGAAACAACAAATTCACGTTATATACAAACAATGTATTGAATCCTCATACAAACAATATATTTGTATGAGGATAAGAACATAATTTAAGTCATTCCTCTCTAAAAATCTTCTTCTCTCTGCAACTCGATGCAACGATGTGGCGATTATTATAAGTGATGTCTGATTAGAAATCCTAAAATACAGTCAAATACAGAAAAATAAAATAGATTAATTAATCAATGTAGTCAAGATTTCTCTGTGGTACATATCAAATTCTCTTAAATTATATATTGAATTGTTTGAATGGAATTTTTTTTGTTATTCTTTATGACATCACCATAGGACGATAATATATTTATGATATGCTAATGTTATGATAATATATATATATATATATATTCTAATGTTATGATTATATATATATATATATATATATATATATATATATACATAATCATAACATTAGCATATCATAAATATATCATCGTCCTATGGTATGGGATATATATATATATATATATATATATATATATATATAAATAAGTTTAAATTGGACAGTATTTACTCTATGTGATCAAATACATCAGGATAACATATTCGGTCTCTCAAACTTTCACATTTCCCTTCAATTGAGTTGAAAATTCACTTTCACAAAAGATGCATTTTAATATTTTCCAATTCTCTGTTTCTCTGTCCTTAGTTCAACTGCACATACCGTAAGAACCAGGGCACCCCAGTTGACAGTGATATTGGATCTGATGATTTCGTGGTAGATTCTTTAGACAATGTTACCTTTAACATGGAGCTGTATAACAATCCCTTCCACTTAACCATCCCTGAATCATTCCTCACCATCTCCGAGAACAGGCCCATCTATGTGGAGGTAAGCATATACATATACATATGTGTACGTATACATAGGGTTTGAAATAAACACCAGCCAACCCACCAAATGCGGGTAAAAGTCAACTGTATTGATGCCAAATCAGTAGCCAATTTGGTGGGTTTTTCCACAAATTAATCACTCAATCACTTTGCATGTGAAGTTTCTGTAATCTGTGCAAGTTTGTTTACTTTTGGAAGCTCAGACCCAAGAAACATAATAATGTGGGTTATCTAACCCCAATGTGAAAAGGACAGAACCACCTAGCTACGAAGAAGCACACCTGCCAATTTTTAGCAGTTACTGTACATTGGGACACCAAGTCTCTTGCCTCCTCTGAGCCCGTTGAGTTTAAACTGAACCTTTAAAGCGTGCGGTGGGTTCAGTGGGGGGTAATTGAGAATGAATGGGGGAAAGTCACATGAGATGAGGCAATGCCTCCATCTTGCTATGATTGGATATGATCGGTTATAATGGGATATGATTGGTTCGTGCAATAAATCCCGCCTCATAGTTTTGTGCGCTTTCTCGAATTGGCCTGAATGTAGACAATGATGGCATTAATGGGAAGACTAATTAAAAACAAACTAAACATCTCAGCCATTTAGATATCACCGCTTTGTCATGTTAAAATCAAACTTGAAATGGACTGAAAACAAGATGACTGTGGGGGTTTTAGTGAGCAGCTTTGTGAAATTAAATGTAGGCTACATCTTCGTCTGTACAAGCTTGATGACTGCTGAAAATAAGTTGACTAAGAAATTTGTAATTTTTACTTGGCATTGGTAAGATTTGTTTAAGTCTCTTGTGCTCACCAAGACTGTATTTATTTGATCAAAAATAAAAATAATTTTAAATAACAGTTATATTGGGAAATATTACTACAGTTTTAAATAACTTTTCTATTTTATTATATTTTTAAAATGAAATTTGTTCCTGTGATGGCAAAGCTGAATTTTCAGTAGTCATTACTCCAGTCTTCAGTGTCTCATGATCCTTCAGAAATTATTCTAATTTGCTAATTTGAGGCTCAAGAAACATTTCTTATTATCATTAATGTCTGTGCTGCTTAATATTTTTGTGGAAACTGTGCTAGACTTTTTCAGGATTCGTTGATTAATAGAAAGTTCACTAAAACAACACCATTTATTTTATTTTATATATACTGTAATTGCTTTTGTAACAGTGTAAAAGTTTCTACTGTCACTTTTGATCAGATCAGTTTAATGCGTCCCTGCTGAGTATTAGTATTATTTAAAAAACAAAAAAAACAAAAACAAAACATACGTTCTCTGTGTGTGTTATTATGGAAAAGATTCCTTTGGGGTTCAATAAAACCATTTCCAGTGTTGTAACCACACTAGAAATCTAATTTAGTAATTGAACGAGAAACCATATACACAAATATAGTCACTGCCAAAAGCTCTTGAAATACAAGCTCTGTTTTTACCCTTTAACCATAATGTGTGGTTCTCATTGTGTATGGTTTCATCTTTCTAATACCATAAGAGCCTGGTGTCTGTCTGTCTGATCAGACATTGTCCTAAGTATGTAAGCATTTACAGCTGCAAAAGTACAAATGTGTGTTTAGATGTCTCTCTGTCAATCCCTGTGAAAGAAGTCAGCAGTCTGCTGTGAGTGTGTGTGTACATTTTGTCTGGTCCGGGAGCATGTCATATTGCCATTAATCAGTGGGGTTTCAAGGGGGCTGACAATATTTGATCTCAGAGTGGAATGGTCACCGTTTTGAACTCTTTTGGTCTCAGTTTTGATTAAATGTGTTCCACTGAAGGTCTACCTCATATGCCATACTGTATGAAATCATCAGATCAGTGCAGATTGTTCTTGATTTATAGCCATATCAATGGAGGATCTGCTGTGTCAATCAGACAGCAGATCACAAAGAGTGTCGACACTCTTTTGGGCCTTGCAAAAAAGTTTTGAATTAATATCCCCCCCCCCCCCCCCCCCCCCCATTTGTTTTAATTTCCTTACACTGAGTGAGTTGAGAATACACTCATTTATATAGCCGTTCACACACGGAACAAAAAGTGCATGCTAGCACACTGCATGCTAGCTTGAGTTCATACAATCCTGAAAACAATAACAGTGAATCTAATCACTCAACAGTTATTTATTAAGAATAAGCAAAGTGGCATGGACGATTTTAAAGGATGGTGTATGAAATAGCAGAAAGGGCAATGTACATCATGCAATTTCCCTATATGTGGCATAAACGTTAGTTAAACTGTCAAACCTTGTTTGTTCTTTTATTTGGAAAATTAAACAAAATACTCTTTGGCAATATGATTTTTAGCATCCTATTCGTATCAAAGGGTTCACCCAATAATAAAATTCCATTTTATTTCCCAACATTTTAGACCTTGATCACTGTTAATCCAAGTCTTCTGAGCCCACTTGTGCAACAATGCATTTGCATATGTAAATGCTTCACACTAGGCTTGACATCAGTGATGCTATTGGTTTTCCTTATCTTTTAACCAAATTTGCTCAATTTGAATATGAATATTGAGTGGAATATGACTTACATTTTGTACTGTTCTCAGACAAAGCTAATTTACGTCGCCTTAGAAATCTAGTAAGTGGTGTGACAGCCTGTCGATATTATTTCTGCATCTTTCGCATTATTGTTCAAGGTTCATAGTCTGCCTCTCTGAAATGATTTGGCCACTTTCCTGAGTTTGACACCCCTTTGGCACAGTTATATTGAGGAAATGGGATGTGATGTTTTTCGTGGCAGCTCTCGTCTGTAATGTGTGCTTTTACAACATCAGATGGCCAAACTATTACAAGTGAATGATCCTCAAAGATTTATTCTAGGCACAGAAATCTGACGTCAGAATTTGTGATTTTTGGAACGGTGAACACTTTGACAATGTTTCTTTAGACAGTGTGCCGTGTTAAAACAAATGGACAGCCTCTGTGCATTATTTGCTGATTTGAAGCGATGCCTGAGATAGTTTGTGGGGAAAAAAATCACAAAGAGCGATCAAAAAAAGATAGACTGAGCGTGTCTGGCAGAGGAATAGACATAATATATAGCATCTAAGCATCACTCTGCTGATTCATCTCATACTATATGAATCACGTTTGATCGTATTTATGAAAAATTGTCAAAAAGTTGTATTAATCAAGATAAAAAAGCAGTTTTTTTCTTTCTCTATTTGTCTTGCTGTCTCCATTTTTTTATTGTTTGCAGCAGATGCATATTTTTTCTCACAGAAAAAGGACTTCATTTTCCATTATTAACAGAGACATGTAACCTTTCTCTGCAGATATCCGCCACAAAAGCCGACCCTAACCTTGGGTTCATGATCCAGACCTGCTTCATATCTCCAGAATCCAATCCTCTCATGCCGTCAGACTACGTTGTCATAGAGAACATATGTCCCAAGGACGACTCTGTACTCTATTACCCTCAGCGAAGCGATTTCCCCATCCCTCACGCCCAGATGGACAAAAAACGCTTCAGTTTCACCTACAGATCAAAGTTCAATGTGTCATTGCTCTTCCTGCACTGTGAGATGTCCCTCTGCTCCAGAAGAAATCACCAGGAGATGAACCTGCTAGAGGTAGAAACCATCATCTAACTATCAGTTTTGTTCCAAGATCTAGTGAGCTGCCTTTGTAGGCAGTATTTTATGGGCATCACACTGTACATTAGGTGTGTTCATAATGCAAATGATGTTTAAAAAGTTGGGCAGTGACATTACAGTGCCTTTCTAAGATACACTGTAGCTTTTTTTCATAAATTCTAAAGCATCATCACGTGTATCGTTCACAGCAAAGGCAATATGTGGAAAAACTAAACCCAAGATGGCAGACGCAAGAGAAAAGCATTACTGAAAAATATAATGGAAAATAGTGTAATATAATTAAAGGGTTAGTTCACCCAAAAATGAAAATTCTGTCAGTATTTACTCACCCTCATGTTGTTCCAACCCCGTAAGACCTTCGTTCATCTTCGGAACACAAATTAAGATATTTAAGATATTAAAGGGTTAGTTCACCCAAAAATGAAAATTAAGTCATTAATTACTCACCCACATGCTGTACCAACCCCGTAAGACCTTCGTTCATCTTCGGAACACAAATAAAGATATTTTTGATTGAATCTGAGGGCTGGATCACTCTTCCATAGACTGCATAAGGGACTGGCTCTTAACGGCCCATAAAGTCGTTAAAGAAAAGGTTTAAATAATCCATGTGCCTACAGCGGCTCAATTATAAGTTTATCAAGCGACAAGAATACTTTTTGTGCGAAAAAAAACATAAATAACGACTTTATTCCACTATTCCATTACTTCTTTAAGGGCGCATGCGCGAGAACTGAGACGAGGACGTTCTCATTCGTCTACTTCTTGTTACCGGCTGCTCATCGCTTAGGAGTTTTACCACCACCTACCGTATAAGATGATGTGCTGATATAGCTGGAAGCGCAAAACTTTCTGTTTACAAGCAGAGGAAGATGCGCGCTGTACATACGCTTTTCAATTAGCGTATTTTCCGCACTATAAGGTGCACTTAAAAGCCTTTAATCTTCTCAAAAAAACGGCAGTGTTCCTTATAATCCGGAGCGCCTTATATATGGATCATCATTTTATACAGTAGGGGGCGGTAAAACTCCTAAGCGGTGAGCAGCCGGTAACAAGAAGTAGACGAATGAGAACGTCCTCGTCTCAGTTCTCGCGCATGCGCCCATAAGGAAGTAATGGAATAGTGGAATAAAGTCGTTATTTATGTTTTTTTCGCACAAAAAAAAGTAGTCTCGTCGCTTGATAAACTTATAATTGAGCTGCTGTAGGCACATGGAATATTTAAACCTTTTCTTTAACGACTTTATGGGCCGTCAAGAGCCAGTCCCTTAGGAAGCCTATGGAAGAGTGATCCAGCTCTCAGATTCAATCAAAAATATCTTTATTTGTGTCCCGAAGATGAACGAAGGTCTTACGGGGTTGGAACAGCATGAGGGTGAGTAATTAATGACTTAATTTTCATTTTTGGGTGAACTAACCCTTTGAGATCACTCCTGTATACTAGTCCATAGACTTCTTGACGGAATGACTTACTGTCCTCGAAGTCATTAAAGACATCGTTAAAATAGTCCAAGTGACTACAGGGGTTCAATCTTAAGTTTATCAAATGACGAGAACACTTTTGTGCGCAAAACAACAACAAAAATAACAACTTTATTTCAACTATTCGTTTATTTCTCCCTCTGCGCGAGTCAGGTTACTAGTTTAATAGCGTAAGCTTCTGTTATTGTATGTCACACGCATCACACACGTGACCAGCGTCGGCCAATAGTGAGCCTACGTGTGACGTAGCTTTACGCAATCACACTACGTTAACTAACTACAGGCCCATGGAGAAGGAAGTGAATAGTTGAAATAAAGTCGTTATTTTTGTTTGTTTTTGTGCACAAAAAGTATTCTCGTCATTTGATAAACTTAAGATTGAGCCACTGTAGTCACTTGGACTATTTTAACGATGTCTTTAATGACTTTTCGGGGACAGCAAGAGCCAGTCCCTCAAGAAGCCTATGGACTTGTATGTAGGAGTGATCTTAATATCTTAAATATCTTAATTTGTGTTCCGAAGATGAACGAAGGTCTTACGGGGTTGGAACAACATGAGGGTGAGTAAATACTGACAGAATTTTCATTTTTGGGTGAACTAACCCTTTAAAAACATTCAATAATGTGGTGTACTATGTGCCGTATGCTTATTTGAGTATTGCTTAGAAACATGCTAAAATCAAACAATATTTTAATTAAGTTTGGATGGTTCTATGCATTTTTCATGTTAATTTGCAGTAAAAAAAAAACCCTGACAAAAATCATTATGTATTTATTAGTATTAATAGTAACACAAAAAGTAGTTGCCTGTACATGAATTCCTGAAATCAGTTTTGGCCTATCCATTCCTGCTCATTTTACAATAGAATTCACTGTAATTAAGTTAAACACATAATGATTTGTTTGCAATCAGAGTTATGGATTTTAATAGCTAATGCTTTACCGGCCTTTGGTTAACTTTTTTTTTTTTTTTTTTTTTTTTTTTTTGTGGCATCCAAAATTGTGGAAATAAGACTGCAAAATGGTTTTGAATTTGCAGTATTTCTTACATTCAAGATAGCAAAATCCTGTAGGAACTGCTATGTAGAACCTTCCAAATGAGTTCATCATGAACTTCCATTTCGTTTATGATGTTGCCTTAGAAGGAAACTTCCTTTTTTGGCAGCCCACTAGGTTTTGGAACACTGACTTTATCTCCTTTATCTTCACTTTCATCATATACACATTATTCCCTCATTTCTTTGTATTATTTATAAAGATCTTTATGATTCTGTGATAACATGGTTCAAATTCTTTAAACTATTTAACTCCAGTATTAATCAATTCAAGCTGATCAATATAAACTGCAGGCGTGTTAGCTTTCACACAATGAGATTGAAAATAATTATATTGCATTATCATTTACAGAATCAAAATTAGCTGCATTGTGTATGCTTGTTTTATTTTAGACTCCACAGGGTTATCTCATTAAGTCAGAGTACAGGAATGCAGATCACTTATTGACCCTAGCACATATTTAGGAGGCGCGTCCGTAACGGTACATATTTCAGAGTAGTTGCTTTATTATATGGATAACATGAACACACTCTTTAATTCATTTATATCATCTGTTTGACTTTGCTGTCCATCCTAAGAGTTGCTTTTTGATTCATTGCCTTGGCACGGGTCACTCTATGCCAGCTGCTAGCATCAATCCACTCTCTCTGAGTGCGGGATGCATAAATCTCAGGTTACTTCAGTTACCATCCACAGAGGAAAAAACAAATCTCCAACTTTCACTGTCCTTTTTCAAATTCCCTTCCTCCCTCACTTCTAGACATAATCATTTTAATCTCCTGCGTTTTAAGCCACTCTAATCATCATATTGCACGTTAAGGTTGTTTATGTCTCACCTAACATGATCTTGAAAGTGACTCATTGTTTGGTCGTAGGTGTTTACAGTTCAGTTATAATCTGGATGAGGATAAGAGATGTGATGCGTCAAACCATATAAACTGTGGATGAAGTTATATGTGCTTTCTCTTAGAAGAGCGTGTGTTCAGTTTGGCTCAGGCACAATTTATGCTACAAGTGGTAAGGTTTTAATGGCTTGAAATATACACTAATCCATGCTTATGAAGAACAAAGTGAAAATTTTAAACATCACATGGCTTAACAATATGAATGGTCAGATGGGGTCACTGTGAGGCTGTGGTTCTACCACCTTAAAATAACATTAAACCCTAGCATGTATTTCTAAAAGGCAAAATTCCACCACTAGTTTAAAAACAGGAAACGTGGTTGTGTTGTTAAAGGGTTAGTTCACCCAAAAATGAAAATTAAGTCATTAATTACTCACCCCCATACTGTCCCAACCCCGTAAGACCTTCGTTCATCTTCGGAACACAAATAAAGATATTTTTGATTGAATCTGAGAGCTGGATCAGTCCTACATAGAATGCCTAAGGGACTGGCTCTTGACGGCCCATAAAGTCATTAAAGAAAAGGTTTAAATATTCCATGTGCCTACAGCAGCTCAATTATAAGTTTATCAAGCCACGAGACTACTTTTTGTGCGAAAAAATAACATAAATAACGACTTTATTCGATTATTCCATTACTTCCTTATGGGCGCATGCGCGAGAACTGAGACGAGGACGTTCTCCTTCGTCTACTTCTTTTTACCGGCTGCTCACCGCTTAGGAGTATTACCGCCACCTACAGTATAAGATGATGTGCTGATATAGCTGGAAGCGCAAAACTTTCTGTTTACAAGCAGAGGAAGACGCGCGCTGTACATACGCTTTTCAATTAGCGTATTTTCCGCACTATAAGGTGCACTTAAAAGCCTTTAATCTTCTCAAAAAACGACAGTGTTCCTTATAATCCGGAGCGCCTTATATATGGATCATCATTTTATACGGTAGGTGGCGGTAATACTCCTAAGCGGTGAGCAGCCGGTAACAAGAAGTAGCAAGTCGAAGGAGAACGTCCTTGTCTCAGTTCTCGCGCATGCGCCCATAAGGAAGTAATGGAATAATCGAATAAAGTCGTTATTTATGTTTTTTTCGCACAAAAAGTAGTCTCGTCGCTTGATAAACTTATAATTGAGCCGCTGTAGGCACATGGAATATTTAAACCTTTTCTTTAATGACTTTATGGGCCGTCAAGAGCCAGTCCCTTAGGCAGTCTATGTAGGACTGATCCAGCTCTCAGATTCAATCAAAAATATCTTTATTTGTGTTCCGAAGATGAACGAAGGTCTTCTGTCTATCTGTGCTGCATCCAAATTGCCCAAAAGGGATCTTAATAAAGTTTGACTTTACTCCTCTAGAGCCCTCATTTCAGGGGTTTCTATACATGACATGTGTGAGGCAGCTGGTTGGGCCACTCCGCACACATTCATGAGGTTTTACAGTCAGGACCGTCCCTCTACACCCGTTGCACGAGTGCTTTCGTCTTAAGTTGTGCCTGAAGACAGCTTCACACTAGGATGAGCAGGATTTGTTCTGGAATAGTGGATATCTCGTTCCCCTAGTGTCGTCACAGACGCAGTTTGAGTTCCTTCGAAAGGGAACGTCTCGGGTTACGTATGTAACCCTTGTTCCCTGAGAAAGGGAACGAGACACTGCGTTGGTTCGCCACTCCTCCCTGCCTGGAGCACTTGCTTCATAGCACAGAGCTGACTCTGCTTGTGCCGACGTGCTCTTATACACATCTGCGTATGACGTCACACGCCAAATAATCACGCAAAGCTAATAGGATTGGATTTGATTTTATTCATGAATTCAGACACACTAATTCTTCTAATTCTGCATCTCTGACGCAGTGTCTCGTTCCCTTTCTCTGCGAACAAGGGTTACTTACGTAACCCGAGAGGTTTTTTGAGGATTGTGGTGCCCATATGACAACGATTACAATTGGATCTTATTCTAACATTTCTGCTTTTTTTCTTTGTAGTGTATGTTACCGGATGAAGCCTGCACTTCCCTCAGTTTGGACAACATCCTACTCATGATGATGAACACCAAAACCATCACCAAGCCTTTGGTGGTCATCTCCGACAACACACCTGTCACTGTTAACACACCTGTCACTGTTAAGGTCCTTGAGGAGAATATTCCACAACATCTAGGTAAAGATCACAAGTCAATACAACGTCCAACTTTAGACATTAAAGGTGAACTTTTTTTAAAATTTCAGTATTATAGTATTGTATTATACAGTATTGTTTTTTTTTTTTTCCTGAATTTAATATCTTACCCTTAGATATTTTGAAGAACATCTTGCTGTGATTGGGATATATGAAGCATCATGTGAAAATGTGTGTCAGAGGTTGTATATGTGTGTCAGTCACCCAGATCACAGGTCAGAGTTCCTGTCTTGTCTTATCTGTGGTGCATTACACCCATTTGGAGTATTTTATTATGTCTCATATGAGTTGAGTATGTGTGCATTTGCATGTGAGTGTTGCGCTTTCAATGTGGTTTGGTTTTAAAGTGTGTGATTCATTAGAGATGTGGGACAAGGGACTCAGATGTAACAGAGCAGAGGAAAAAGACCAGCTTTCCAATTCTGGATAGCATTTGTTTTCACTTAACCCTTGTGCTGCATTAGATTTTTAACACCGTTGAGTGCATTAAGGACCAAAAATGGCCACATATTAAACATTGCCTAAAATATTATATATTATTATTATTTTCCACTTTTACCAAGTTAAATCTTTTAACCAGCATCAGTCCTCATCATAACTACCAAAAATGTATTCAATTTCAGGATTTTAACCCTTTAATTACCAGTTTTGTTTGCGAAACCATCGATTTGTATAAGAGGAAAAAACACAAAAATTCAATTATTTTCAATAAACTAAATGCAAAGAGAAAACTTTAGATTTGGATTATCACAGTCCCACTTTGCAAAAAATCCCACTTAGCGTGTTAGAGACCAAAAATGGCCACCTATTAAACATTGCCTATTGTCTAAAATAAGGTGCATTTCCACCCATAGGGAATAAATATGTAGTGACGTCATCTGGTGGAATACACTATATAATGCAAATATAATGCTTTTGCTTCAAAATGAAAGGATGTTTGTGCAAAAATCATGTTTCATGTATTACTGACAGCCTCAGATTTAAACAACGTTTTAATGGGTTTCAATGGGCCATTTTTGGTCTTTATGGTGCTGAGTGTTACTATTTGATCTACACAGTGTGTGTTATACATATTTTGCAAAATGGGATCACATTTTTTACATGTATCCAAAAAGTCACAATTTTGCCAAATTTCATACCATTTGCATTAAAACAGCCAAAATGGTCAAAGAAATTAAACTGCAAAAGACCAAAAATGTCCCTAATGCAGCATAAGGGTTAAACATTCTTTAAGGCCTCCCTTTTTGTACTGAGAGAGGAAGGAGATTCAGAGAGCATGAAAAGGGATAGAATGAAGATAAGGAAGAAACATGACCATGATAAAGAAAGGGAGGTTTTTGCACTATATACCTGCAGTCTGCGTTTGCCATAGATGGACTCTGTGGTATAAAAGAGGGCAGCAGGGTGTTGTCTAAACTTTTTTTTTTTTTACAAAGAAACTTAATTTGACCATGACTGATTTGTTCAGTTCCTTGCATCTTCTTGGCACTATTACACCTATTGCGGTTGGAGTGAATCAACTTTACTGACTCGCAACTCTAATGAAAATCATTCCGGTTTAATAACACAATGTTGCTGTGCTGCTTGTTGCAAATGGAGCATGCTTCTATTAGTCACACTTGATTAGGTAAATGATTGCCACTCCTGAAGGATGAAAGCTGGGGTTTTATTGCCACAAGTCAAGTTTTATGTAGGTTTTGTGTTTCTGAGTAGAAACAAAATAAAAATCCTGTTCCAACGAAAGCAGATGACACATACCTGGAAAATGTGGAGTGAATCCAGGTTGTATGTGAATTCAGTGTGAATCCAGTGTGGGCTCACTCTTGATGAACAAGCTCGTGTGTGTTTCCAATGTCAGGTTTATTCTCTCTGGTGTGAATTAAGTAAACTCAGATATGCCATAAAAAGTAATGAAAACAGGCTTTTCGTCTCATTTTGAACACAAAGACGACTCTTATACAGACATGGCTGAAGAGCAAAAAGGCTCAAAGCGCCGCTCTGGACAGGATCCCAAAATGTTTGGCTTAATCTACAAATCAAAGAGGGCAGTTTATGGGAGAGCCATGCTTGAGAAAAACATGGCAGAACAAAACATTGCCATCCGAAAAATGATTCACGATCAGAAAACCTCCATACTTCCCTACCTTTTTTGGTCTAAAGCAGAGGTACAACCTCGCATTGAATTTTTGTAAATGTTTTTATTTTAATTTGGTGTGCTGGTAATCACACAGTTGCTGACTTATTACTGAAAGAAAAAGACTGTGAATGACTGAGGATCACACACTAGACTTAAAAGTGATTCCGAACACATGCAACTTAGAGGAGGCATGACAAATGAAAACGATTTTTTGAAAACGGTTTTAAAATAATCTCAAAACATTAAACATGTATGATATCCTTCAACTGGATAGAAATCTTATTCTCTGCCTATTATAAACCATACGATTTTCCTACCGTGTGTTTCAAATAAGTTGGCTGAGAGTTTAGAGAGACTGGGTTCTCATCTTCGGTCTGTCTTCAAAGATATATGTTTTGCTTAAATTATTTCATTATGAATAAAATGAATGGGATTTTGACCTTTTACTCTTCACCACAGGTGTAAACTCCAGGGGTCAGAAAGTAAAAGTCCTGGCATATGTTCATTCCACCCATGAACTCAGCCATCTTCTGGCTGAAAACTGTTAATTAGCAAATCCAGGTGATTGGAACAAAATACTGAGGATGAGTTTTACTTTCTGAACTTGGACTTTACACCTCTGCTCTTTACTGCTGAATCAGGCAAACACATCATCTTGTTAAAGTTTGTCCAATGCTTGTCCAAAAAATACACACAAGAGTATTAATCTTGTGTTCATACTTCATTTGAGAAACCCTGCTAGTCCTAAAAAGGCGAAGTAAAGAACAGCACAAGTATGTTCTGACACCCGTGAGGAGATCTTGGGCGGTGATGACTACACACAATGTTGTCCAAGTCATTATGGCTAGTTCATTTACTTCCCTCCGAGATACATTAGGGTTTGTGGGTGGAGTAGCTCAGACAAACCTATGGCCACGGCAGAGCAAACCACATCCCTTACTTCAAGCTGACATAGCTTCTCTCAGGAATCCTCTTATCGTACAAGCTTTTGTTCTTTGTTCTGTTTCGCTTCTTCTTGTAAGCCATAAATACAGTACATTGTGAGATTTTATTTTATTTTTTCACCCAAAAATGAAAGTTCTGTCATTTTTACATAGATGAATTTCTTTACTCTGTGGAACACAAAAGAAGATATTGTGAGAGTCAATTGAGTCCAAACAACATTGGACCTCATTAAATTTTTATAAATAATCATTACATTTCCCATTGCATGGGAAAAAAGATAGTTATCAAAGATATGCTACCATATAAAAGTTGTATGCTTTTTAAAAATAAATAAATTAATATTTCATATTCAGATTAATAAGAATGCTTTTCAATTATTTTGCTTAAAGGTAACCAGTAAAGACAATTATTATGTTATTATGACAATTCACATTTCATATTCAGATTAATAAGAATGCATTTCAATTATTTTGCTTAAAGGTAACCAGTAAAGACAATTATTATGTTATTATGACAATTCACATTTCATATTCAGATTAATAAGAATGCATTTCAATTATTTTGCTTAAAGGTAACCAATAAAGACAATTATGATGTTGTTATGACAATTCATATTCAGATTAATAAGCATGCATTTCAAGTATTTTGCTTAAAGGTGACCAATAACGACAATTATTATGTTACAAAAGATTTCTATTTCAAAGTTTTGAACTTTATATTCGTCAAAGATGCAGCACATCTGTTTTAATGCTGAAAGTTAAGCTTTACCATTACAAGAATAAATAGCATTTTAATATATTACAAAAGAAAATAGTTCAATTCTAATATTTCACAATATTACTGTTCTTAGCTTTTTCATTGCTTTTTGTCTTCCTTTTCAATTAAATAAATGCAGCTTTGGTGAGCTTAAGAGACATATCTCAACACCGACTGCAAACTTTTGAACTTTAGTGGGTTTTTTGTTTTGTTTACTGTTTCTTTGCCGTTTGCTTTGGCCTATAACATGTACATAGACAAAAGTATTGATGACAAGCAGCTTTATATTTTTGAGCTGCCCTGCACAGATATTATATAGGGGTTGGTTCTGGTGGTGATTTGGGGTAAAGGGTAAAAGCCTGAGGTGGGAGCTGTTACATAGCACTCGCTCTTGTTTTAACAGAGCGCTCCAGTGATAGTCTGTCATCAGTCTGTCAAAGGGGATGAAAATCTGAAGGTGCTCTCTCTGAGAATAGCCTCTATTGTGCTTGGGATTTTGGCGCTAGACCAGATGGGCTATGAAGCTGGTGGCCACACAGGGTCTATTGTGCTGTGTTATCAGTGATCATTAGAGCTAATTAGAGCTCTGAAAGTCATTCGGCCGGTGGCGCGAGTCCAAGGAAACTCTCAGATGCTTGGCTTGCTCTCGGATGCCAATGCAAATCCCATATTAAGCATGTGCGTTCTACTCTACACTCAACCTAGATGGACTGCCCGGACCTGTCCAGGGTCCTAAGGGTCCCTGACAAAGGTGCCTGGTAACAAGAAGAGCTGTTAAAAAGCATATTAAAGGGATAGTTCACTTTGAAATTAATTTTTGATATGTTTTAGCTTACCTCAAAGGCATCCAAGATGTAGGTGTCTTTGTTTCCACAGTATTTTCAATTTTGGCATTTTTTGGTCAAACCGTTTTTGTCTGTCAGTCATACACTGGAGGTGAAGGGGGTCCTCAATCGGTTCACCTCAAAGAGCATGCACAGAGAAGTCAAAATTAAACATGATTTAATGACTCGTAAATGTAAGTACACATTGATGGCCTAAGACACGAAACGAGCGGTTTGTGTGAGAAAACAAACAGTATTTATATCGTTTTACCTCTTGTAATCATAGCCATGACAAAATGATCTGATCGCTTACGCGCCTACGTCACTCTTTGTTTATAAAGAGATTTCGGAAGTTTTACCTTTCACTAAACATATTTAGATATACGGGAAACCGCAATGGAAGACGATTTCGATATATCTAAATATGTTTAGTAAAAGGTAAAACTTCCCAAATCTCTGTGTAATTATTGAGTGACGTCACACGCAAGCGATCACTTCCGGCGTAACATTGAACTGATTCAGTTCGGTTCAGTTGGACATTGCACAACTGATTCAGATCACTTGGATTACACGAGGTAAAAACGATATAAATACTGTTCGTTTTCTCACAAAAAACGCTCGTTTCGTGTCTTAGGCCATCAAAGTGCACTTACATTTACGAGTAATTAAATCATGTTTAATTTTGACTTCTGTGCATGCTTTTTGGTGGACCCCCTTAGCCTCCATTGTATACAACAACGGTTTGACTGAAAAATGTCAAAATTGAAAATACTGTGGAAACAAAGACACCTACATCTTGGATGCCTTTGAGGTAAGCTAAAACATATCAAAAATTAATTTCAAAGTGAACTATCCCTTTAATTCCTACTTGTTAGGTTGTACAGAACCAGTCCTGGCTCATAACAGGGAGTGGAGGACCCTACTTTAATAACCCAAGAGCGATTCAGTCTTGTTTTAAAAATCGCTTCCTTTTGAATTATTTCCTCCTAGTGTCCTCCCTCCTCACCGGAGGAGCACGAGTGGCTACGCTCAGCCTCCATCCCTGCCTCCAGTCTTTAGACTATGACAGACCAGGTCCCAGGATTGGATTGAATTGGATTGGTTTACTCACATTCCCATACATTTTCCAAATTGATGCACTCCAAATTGCGGTGTACCAAATATTTACCAAACTGTACTGTAACCCTGACCACAGAGTGAAAAATCTGAACTGTTACATACATACTCTAATCTATATTTTGACTTCTTTCTCACAGACATCATATATGTGTTGGACACCCCGACTGTGGTTGGCATCGCTTTTGCTGCCTTTGTGATCGGAGCCCTTCTGACGGGTGCTCTCTGGTTCATCTACTCGCATACAGGTGAGAAAATATCGCTGCATATTCACATCAGAACACCCTTGAACTCATCTGACCCTTGTTCTCATTCCCTGCCTCACGCTAATTAGTAACGAGAGAGTTATGCATCATATCAATTTTCATATTGTCAAAATAAGCAAGGAAACATGCTTGCCAGTTCTGTTAACAGCAATATATTAACAATAGCATATTGACTGCGAGCCCGTAAATATATCCCGTTCGTCAGCAGGATCGCATCTGTCTTTTCCGTTCTTTCAAGGGGGGTGGGGTCTGTTGGATGGTCGGCAGTATTTTGGGTACAATAGCCCAAAAGGGACTGGAATTCCCCATATCCATGAGGTTGTCTCCATCCAGGCCTCACAGGAAAATACATATACAATCCTCCAGCTGAATGCCAAGATTCACTCCACCCCTCCTCCCTGCATTGCCCTGTTGTCGCCAGGCCGACGACCTCTGTTGACCCTTCAGAGGAAGCGCATGCTCTATCTTAGCCCCGATTTCCTCCCATTTGCATTCACCCTTAGTCTGGCCTGTGGTTTATGTCCTCTGTGCTGTTGACCCGCTACCGTTTTATGGCACACATTTGAAGGGATTCTCATTCTGAACACTGTTCCAGAATCTGTACTTGTGTAGGCCAATGAGTATCAGTATGTAGACTGAGGATCAAAGCCATTCTGGATTTGAGCTATTTCTATTCTTTGGACATGTGTATCTTGGATATATCCATGTCTTGACAGAAAAGGAGTCATGTTTAGCTTTTATTAGCATTCATTTTTATTCTAGAGTTCAGAAACATATATCAGTATAATTTTTTATTAATATTGCCTGCGGTATTCAGTTGGGATGACATTATCCAGCTGTGTTCCTGCTCGTTGTTGTTGTTACGTGAGACTGAAGAGTTTAGATCAGGTAACCCCAGAGACTGAGTTTGTTGTTATTTGCCAGTTTATGTTTGCACCTTCGATCAGGATCACTTTTTATGTGTTACTGGTAAGACTCAGTGTTTCATTCGACTACCCTCTTAAGTTAATTTAAGGTCAAAACTGTGTCTTTTTCTTGTCGGAAACGTGTTAAATATTGAAATGAAAAAAAGGAAAAGGTTTAGTTATGGCGTACTAAGCTCTGATCAGTCCAGCCATGTGTTTTTCATAATGGCATTGATTACTTTAACCACATCATTGTAAAGTATTTAATCATATTACTACAATAGCCCTACATGGAATAATATTTTTATACTGACGTTAAACCCAAGTGCTTTTCATGTTTGGAACAGCCTAAATGATTGACTCGGAGCTTCTTGAAAAAAAAAAACATGCGAAAAATATCACAAACACTGGTGCTTTTCTTACCTTTGAAGTGTAGAAAAATGCCAATAAAAGGCTTTGGTGAAATTAAAGGCAAAATCCTCCCTTTCCCTCTCTGTCAGTTAGATCCACAGAATGATTCAGGTTTTTTTTTTCCCCCCCAGCATGATACTTTGGTTCTCAAAAAAGAACAAATAATATAATGTATAGTGTACTGTAGTGTATGAGTGCATAACTGGGGTTTAAATACTTTTTGATGCTAATAACCCCTAATTTATTTATTGTTCCAAAGAACACAAGAAAACACATTGTTTGCAAAATCAGCCAAAAAGTTCTTAAAATATTATATGTAAATGATTTACTTTAATTGTATTAATTAACTGCATATTCCTTCTTCTCCCTAAAATACAGCTAAGTGTATAAATCTAATACACAATAGTAGATAGTATTAATATAAAATAGTATGTAAATTGAATCTATATAGTATTTATTGATTTTTTTATAAATAAAATACATTTGTTTAATTTAATCTTATGTTGATTTGTCATTTGTATTATTTTATATTTCTATTCAGATTTAATTTATTTGTATTTCAGTTTTAGTTTCAGTACTTTTAATACTTAACAGTTCTTGTAAAAAACATCTATTTTATTTTGATTTGGATACATTTTAGTTGCACTTTTTTTTTTTTTTACTTCGCAATAACAACACTTTACTTTCACACTAAAAGAGTGATGTGTATAATGATTATGAGTACATAATTGTTCCATACATTAGGGATGCTTACTATTTTAGGGAAAGCCACGTGTGGAATGTTGCAGGGGTCTGTTAAAAAACAGCTCCTGTAATCCCGTCACCGTCCCTGTCGTAGATCACACTGATAGGTTAAGGACGTTGCCCCTGTGAGCAAAGAGTGGGAGTTACACAACGAAATGACACGGTCGAGTGGAAGAGGTCAACAAGCTGCCATCAAACTCTTTCTCACACATACAACAAAATGCATCCTTGTTCGGAGTACTTTCATTTCATCAACTAAAACCAACATATGCTGTTAATCTGTGTGCTGTCACGGTGTATGTTCGCAAGACGAGTGTCCGTAAAAGTAAAAAATGTAGGGAGGCAGATAAGCGAGAGTCTAGTACACAGCGCTGTATGAGGAAATAGGCTGTTTTTAGCTGGAGCTCTTGGCAGCACATCTCTGGCACATATTAGCAGCAGAGGGGCCTAAAACAGGGAAGCAGACACGTCCAGATGAGCTGAGAAGAGAAGCACACGCGCACATAAACACACTCACAATTTACAATGCTGGGTTGGTGGAAATTATTTACAGATGTTTTACAGATTAATTAATACTGGGGTTTTAGTTAAATTCCAAGTATGGAAAGCAAACCTGGAATTTGATTAAAAACTCTGATTTAGGGTTGAGTCCTCTGATAGAGGAATGTTTAAGTCTATCTAGAACAACAGTCAGTGAAGATGAGATGGACGAGATAGAACACTCGCTAAGAGCCAAATGCAAGTAAAAATCAGTGCTGAATGGTGCCCATTTTGTGTTCTGCAAAAGAGCCTTTCAATGAACAATTCTTAAAAGATTTTTTTTTTCTTTGTGTGTAGAAGATTTAAATTATTATCCCTTTTCTACTATGAAGAACCTTTTGTGAAATGGAAAGGTCCGAATGAATGAAAGTGCACCAGCCAAACCACTTGATGCGACAGAGAGAGAGAGAGAAAAAAAAAAAACGTTTATGAAATAAAATGTGTCTGTGCCTGAGTGTTATGCTTTCATGACTTGAACCTGAATCACAGAAAGTCACATTTAGTGCGAAACAATCTAGAAAGCAATGTGTTTTCCAAGTGTCCCTAAAAGCTTTGTAGGAAACTCAAGACCAGGAGACTCTGTGTGTCTTCAGCAGGCTTTTTTATTGAGAACGTTCTGTCCAAGTCAAGTCCAACTAAAGCCTCATTCACACAGCCAATGCCGCTAGTTTCTGTTCTTTGAAGACGCTTGTGGACGTTCCTAGTGCTGTCACTCTAATCTATTGGTAGGCGGTGCGTCTGGCCGTATCTTTAGAAAATGATAAATGATATATAAAACTATCATTATAATGATATATAAGATATCATTATAATTTGACAAGGAATTAGACTTAAAAATTAGCATCTGCCGTTGTAGAGTACCGTGATAGTAAACTACAGCAGAGCTCAAGTGTATAAAATCATTAACCAGATTAACGATTGATCAATCAATCAATTAAACTCACTCATACCGTAAAAAACCATTCGAATTTGACCAATAATAATTTTATCTTGTCCCTAATAATCCACACAATGCAGGGGAAACTATAATTCTGCATCATATAATTAACAACACGCAAACTATCAATATATGAATCAAACTCACTGACTGCCGACATGACATGAGGGTATCATTACACCCCTAGTTTATATACATTTGAGGGGGCAGTGCTTAGAAATGGAGACAAAACACCTGGCAGATCTTAAACTTAGCATGCAAATGAAGTATTCAGTTATAGAAACCCACCCCCGACACTAGAGTGTCATTAGTCCTAATCAAATCAGCATAGCTATTCAAAGAATGGGACAGGGGCTCCAAGAGCTATTAAAGGCAAATGATTCATCTGATGTCATCATCTTTTCCATTAATGTACTTACATTGGTTTTTCATGCACTCTAAAAAAAATGCTGGGTTGTTTTAACCCAATTTTGGGTCAAATATGGACAAACTCAAACATCGGGTTAAAAATGTAATTTAAAAATGTAACCCAATGGCTGGGTTTGTCCATATTTGACCCCAAATTGGGTAACACTTTATTTGAAGGGGTGTGCATAAGACTGTCACAAACATGACATAACACCTGTCATGAACATGAAGGAGTCTTTATGAATGTTTATGACTGTTGTCATTAAGTGTCATTCGGTAAATTATGACACTTTTAATGCAAAGTTGACATTGTTTAAAATGTCTTTGTTATGACAACTTGACATTACCTAAGAAATCATAACCTGTCACAAATATGTCATAACAGGTCTAATTATCAAACTTAAAGAAATAATTTAGCTTTGTGTTAACATTACATTACCTTATCATATGTGGTTGGTTTTGACTTTGGCCGTCATGACACCATTATAACTGTGACGTGAATATTTTACTTGTCCTCAAGTAAAGTGGAACACATTGTACTAGTTATAAAGATGTCATTAAGGGTTATTACATTTTCAAATGCTTTAACAACAGTGTCATTAATACTGTATTTCCCCTTACCTCAAGTAAAGTGGAACACATTGGACTAGTTACGATTTCTTTGTTAATGTCAAGTTGTCATAACAAAGACATTTTGGACAATGTCAACTTTGCATTAAAAGTGTCATAATTTACTTAATGACAACAGTCATGAACATTTATAAAGACTCCTTCATGTTCATGACAGGTGTTAGGTGACAGTGTCATGTCAGTCTTATGCACACCCCTTCAAATAAAGTGTTACCATAGATTCTTAAATGTGTAATCTTAACATGTTCTTTGTCAATCTCCCTCTTCAGGTGGCACAGGAGCAAGGCAGCAGGTGCCAAAGTCCCAGCCGGTGTCTGAGAACAGCAGTGCGGCTCACAGCATCGGCAGCACACAGAGCACGCCGTGCTCAAGCAGCAGTAACGCATAGAGCAGCTGGACCCAATGCTGCTTACATTGCTATTTTGCTTTGTAGAACAATGGAAGAATACGTGATTAAGTAGCATACCTTGAGAACACAATGCCTAATTATTTTCACCATTTGAACTGAAATGCTTAGGCTGAATATACAACCGTATGAAATGAGCTACGTTTAGAGGTGAGGGAAATAACAAAAATCAAGATCCCAGCCGGTTTTTAAATGTTGCTTTTTTCCCCTGTTGAACCCCACAAGAGAGTGTTGTTTTGCCTTATATGGTTGGGATCAGTGTGAAAATAACAAAGGCTGTTTACACCAGCCATTATTGCATGAAGGCGGTCCAGAAGAATAGTTAGTACTCGGCGAGGTTACACAAGGGTTCTGTCTGCTCCTAAACAATGATCAGTGCCTTTCCCCATCGAGCATACATAAGATATTTGACAAGAGAATTATATTTAAAGATTTTAATGGTCGGTTTGTCCATATCTGACTTTTAATACCCAGATGCCAATTAATTCTACATTATGGCATATAGTTTTCTTTAAGACCAGCCGTCTTCAGGAGTTTTTGGCATATTGTAAAATAATGTATATTCTGTGAATATTGTATGGAATGCATAGAGATTTAAAGTGGAAATAACTCCATAAAAAAGGCTTTAACTAAAACCAAATATTTAACAAATGTTTATACATTATTAAGAAGGTAATTTTAAAATATAAATTAATTTACACATGCATAAGCTCTTTCCCTGAATTGGCCTTTAAAAGATAGTTGCAAAATAATAAGACGGAGAATACAACTTAAATTATGATGTTCATTTTCCCTCTAATTTTTTTGTTGTTTGATAGCCACTATTAAAGTCTTTGTACAGATAATAAGCATTTTATGAGTAAAAAAAATGACTTATATATTTTATAGAAAGTTTTTTTTCAAAATGCTGGGCATTATTATTCAACATTAGTATAAAAGGTAATGATTTCAGCAAACAGCAGACTGTTATATTTTGATATTTCATCCTTAAAGTACTAAATCAAAATGAGTATTTGTTGAGAATGATTTAAACGGTCTCTTCGCAAAAGATGTACATAATCTGAGGCCAAAGAATGGGCATTTACTTTCCAGTCTTTTTGGGTTACAGCAGAATCTGCGGTCAATATGTTAAGGTACTAACCTACCACTAAAGTCAACACAAAATCAACTTTTCTTAACAACAAATAACAAAAAAAAAAATCAATCATTATTATTATTTCTGCTGTGTATGTGAAGTTATAATTTTGGGATTGTTTTAGAACATCCATACAGATGCACTTGTGAAGTGCAAGAAATGTATAGATGCAAAGCCAGAGAAATCCCACCGTCAAAACTTTACATGAATGTCAATAGATTATAAGTGCCTTTACCTTGAGTATATGCTTAATTTCAGAGATAAAATGAGGCAAGAAGGGAAGTGGTGTTTGCTTTGCTTTAAGCACAGTATATACCCTCTGATGTGAAAATCTGCCAAACCTGTGCATCTAGTTGTTTGTTTGGTTGGTTGTTTTTAGTATCTAATGTTGCTTTTTTTTTTTTTTTTTTTTTTTGGTTCGTGTTGCTTTTTACAGACTGTACTCATAGAATGTACTTCATTTCAAACCTTAGTTTCATTGTAAACATGTATAAATGTCTCATGTAAGAGAAAAGAGAGTAAGAATTTAACCATTTATTTGTGTATAGTTGTATTTTTCCAGAGATATATAGATATATGTAGAGCCACCCTATAATTCTATCTGCATACTGTGAATTTTTGTGGGCATATTTCTATAAGTTTTTGTGTGTTTTCTCTAAATCTAAACATAGTCCATAATGCTGAAGTGAGCTGCATTCACTTATATTCTCCTGACATAGTCATATAAAATAAGATTTTATTATATATATATATATATATATATATTTTTTTTTTATATGAGAACACTATATTATTTGGAATACAAAATATATTTTGATGAGACAAATGTTTTTATCTCTCTTTTCAGCTCTTCGCCATTCTGCGTGTGTTTGGTCACACTATAGCTCTATGTAACCATGTATGTGGGTTTAAATGAATGTGTATATGTTTAGTCCTTGTTGTATTGTGTCTTTTGGGAATGTTTAAAACAGTGCTGTCATGTCTAACAGAGTTTGAATCTCTATTGGTGTAATCAAGAGTCATTAAATGGCTGTAACAGGGGCCTTTTTTTCAAAAGGTCTTTCTCTCATTCCAGTAAACACTCTTGTCTTGAGATAAACTTTTTATTCTAAAATGTAAGTTCACACTGCTGTGTTTGACACAGTGGTTTTCCTGTACGTTGAATTGTCAAATTGATTGTGCTGTCTTTCTGTTTATCTACCTCATTTGTGTGTGTGTGTGTGTGTATAAGGTTTCATTGTCTTGACAATATAAAAAATATGTTACTGTACATATTGTGTGGATCTTGATGTGACATGTTCACAACGTATCAGTCGGGCTTTCTGACAAAAGAGGAAAGCCTGAAAGATGTAAATGTGAACCCATCAGAATTAGACTTCAACATTTTCAGGCTGTCTTGCTCTGAAACTACACACTATTCGTGAATATTTTGTATTTGTTTGTTTTTTTCTCCAATGGTATGTGAAACCTTGTAGTGTTTGTAAATACAATGTGGTGTAAATATGCATGCTATATGTATGCTCTGTATATAGCAAATAAATTCTTGTAATCTTTTGGGAGTTTGTTTGTGTGCTTATTTAAAAATGTTCACTGGGCAACACGGTTCTTCCAATAAGTGGGTCAATGAGAACATTTTATTGGATACGTTTACACAACAACAATGTATTAAAAGCGTAAACGTTTTTTCTTTTCTTTTTCCCGTTTACACGGATCCGTGAAAATTACCAACGCATTCTCATCCCAAGGCATCATCTAACTGACAATTTTGACCATGCTTCAACATCCGATGCTTTACGCACCCTTTAGCGTCAGTTACATGACGCGATCCTAGGGCGTCATCTAACTGACGCTTTACCTTAAGCGTCAGTTAGATGGCGTGGGTAGGTTTAGGTCTGGGGTCTGGGGTAAATTACTAAAAGCACTATTATTCATGCCAGGCCAGTAGTTGGCGATGTTACTTTGTGAAGAAACACTACGAGCCTGTAGACTGAACAAGTAATAGGCCTATGTCACACTTCCTGCTTCTGGAACGGGGAGTAGGGATACAGAACTTCCGGTCAACAGTATTTATCGCAGCCCTAATGTCTAAAACATCCAAGGTAGACTGACTACAAGCAAAAAACGAAGGTTTTTGCTCCTGTTGAAGCTATAAGTTCATATGAAATCAATCTTGTTTAAAGATAAACATGTTTTATCCGTCTTATGAAAAAAACAAACTACACTACCCATAATCCTAAGCATAGCAGCAACGTCTGCTGATTGGTCTAACTCGCTGTTACCATAGAAACGTTTGTCTTACTGGTGAACGGCGAGCTACCCGCAGCTGTTGTTGTAGTGTACCCAAGGGAGTAATCCATCAGTCGGAAGTTGAAGCTTCGCGGGAGCCGCCATTGTAGCAGAACTTCTCCTGTTGTTAGCATTCCATTGACTCCCATTCATTTTGGCATCCCTTTGACAACGAATAACTTTACATCTGAGGCGTCCAAAGACTTAATTTGTCCATTATTTATTTGTAAAGATACACGACAATGTATAAAATGCTCAATTTCTTTGTATCTTACGTTACGGCCCCGTAGAAGCCGTTTTTGTAAAAATAGGCTTAAGATTGCGTGATAACCACGGGACTTTCTGTCGCACAATAGAGACATTACCTTATAGACAGGAGGAGAAGCTCGTAGGCAATCTTTTACTGTCATAGAGAGTCCATAAAAGCAACGGGACAACATATTTCAATAACGTTTTTGAGGAATTAAGTGATTCAGATTTGTCTTGGCACAGCTACTAGAAGATTTTCAAATGTCCGACTGTCGTCACGCTCAGTTTGAGTCTGCGCAATCGCTCAGACATCAGACAGGAAGTGCAATAATCGGTCTTCAGTCTTCTCCGTTGAAATCAATAGGGTCACTGTGTCCATTTCATTTACTGTTTATGAGTGTACCGGGTTGCTCTGCATCAGGACGTAGACAGCCATAACTCAACTTGAAGGTGTTTGCATTTACCATCCGAACCACATTGTCATATGTGACTTCAGACAGGCTGCGGAGAGATTTGGTTCAGCGGTATCTATCGGACTCCACCATTGTTAAAAGCTAACCGGAAGAGCTGTATCCGTCACAGTCTGCGTCTGCACCATCCTGTCTGCGTCTCCTGCACCAGTGGCGTAGCCACGAGGGGGCCTGGGTGGGCCTAGGCCCCCTCATTTACATGTCCGGTCCCCTCAGATTTCTGATTGCTTAAAAAAAAAAAAAATGTTGTTTTATTAGGATTGATAGATTGACCAATCAAAATGCTGCGCGGTAAAATGCAGCTTATTTTCAAACTTGATTTGTTTATATAACGTGTTGCGCGTAACGTACGCTGTCATCTTCATCTTTGCGTGACAGTTATTATGCCGTGACAATGGCAGACGCTCAAACTCAAAGTACAATATTACACTTTTTTAAAAAAGCACGGAAAGATCAACTTGATATACAGTATACATAAATAATGTTGCCCCCTCATTTAAAGACGGGACCCCCCAAAAATAAAAATCTGGCTACGCCCCTGGCCTGTTTTGCACCCGTGTTCCTGTCTGCCTGCCTGTTTTGTATATTAAAAGTGATCAACGCTATTTGGACTCCTCTGGTTCCTCTACCAGCACCACACCCTGACAGTATCCCTACTAAAAGACGTACGTTCGGCCTTCAATTTTTCCGTGACATACATTACCGGTCAAAAGTTTTAGATCAGTAAGATTTTTTATGTTTTTAAATGAAGTCTCTTCTGCTCACCAAGGCTGCTTTATTTGATGAAAAAAAAAATGACAAACAGTAATATTGTGAAATATCATGACAATTTAAAATGACTGTTTTCTATTTTAATATATTTTAAAATGTAATTTGAAAGCTGAATTTTCAACATCATTACTGTTGCTGATTACACATCAGTTTTCAGTGTCACATGATCCTTCAGAAATCATTCTAATATGCTGATTTTATGCTCAAAAAACAAATTATTATTTTCAATGTTGAAAACAGCCGTGTACCATTTTCCCCCCCCAAATTATGTGATGAATAGAAAGTTCAAAAGAACAGCATTTATCTAAAATATAATCTTTTCTAACATTATAAATGTCTTTATTGTAACTTTTGATCAATTTAACTCATCCTTGATGAATAAAAGTATTTTCTAATTTCTTTCCCCCCAAAATAAAAAATAAATTCTTACTAACCCCATGCAAACTTTTCAATGGTAGTGATTAATGTTACAAAAGCTTTCCATTTCAGAACAATTCTTTCTATTCATCAAAAAATCCTGAAATAAAAATGTAAAAAAAACTGTTTTCAACATGGATAATAATCATAAATGCTTCTTGAGCATCATATTATAATAATTTCTGTGGGATCATGTGACAATGAAGACTGGAGTAATGATGCTGTAAATACAGCTTTCATCACAGGAATAAATTGAAGAGTTCAGATGCAAAAGCCTCTAAATGCCATTTGAAATTTTCTTCTTTAATGATGATTTTTATCAAACTTGTATATTTAAGTTCAGTAAATTACTGAACTTAAATATACAAGTTTGATAAAAATCATCATTAAAGAAGAAAATTTCAAATGGTATTTAGAGGCTTTTGCATCTGAACTCTTCAATTACACTTCACTATATTCACATAGAAAACCGCTGTTTTAAATTGTAATAATATTTCACAATATTACTGTGTTTTTTTTTTTTTTAATCAAATAATTGCAGCCTTGGTGAGCAGAAGAGACTTCTGATAAAAAAAATCTTCCCGATCTAAAACTTTTGACCGGTAGTGTAGGTCGCGCACATGACGTCACCGTTTTCACAAATTCTCGATTTTGTTGTGTACGCTACAATGGAGACGATTGAGGTACTTGCACTTTGAGACCCGTTTTCAAAGCTTGCGTTTTCAGGCCCCCCAAACGTTGTTGTTGTTGTAAACTGCCCCTATGTCAAAATACAGTGTTTTGTAAAAATCCTAAAATATAAAAAGCAATAGAAATAAAGACATTAAAATAATAATAATAATAATAATAATAATAATAATGGTCATATATTAGATTAGGGTCCAATTCCCACTATTAACTAAATATTGACCATGATTTTGCCTCAATAAATTCCTTGAGTTTAGGTATTAGGATTATGGGATGTGGAATATGGTCATACAGAATAAAGCATTAATATGTGCTTTATAATAACTAATTAACAGCCATTATCCTAGTAATATGAATGCTAATACACAAATAGTTCATAGTGAGAATTGAACCCTAAACTAAAGTGTTACAGAAAAAAAAAAAAAAAACTGAGAGAAATAGAAAGTGGTGACATCATTTTAAACTGGTCAACACTGACCCGTGTGGGGCAATGAACATTCAGTATGACATCACCTTCCCACAGAGAGTCTACTTTATCAACTGACTGTGTCATTTATGGAAAGTTTCAAAGGTTATAGAGTAATGTTACTTGTAATGTAATGTGTCAAATTGTTTATCAACTTTTCAACAAAAAATAATCCTCCCAGATTAAAATGAGGATGATGAAATTATGAAGTCACGTTAGATTCCAGGAAAGAAAAAGTACTAGGGGGGATTTAATCGATAATGGAACAGGCTTTTTGTCTTACACAATAATGACTCAATGTAGGTCATCAGAGTTTATTTTGGGTTTAGGTCATGATTCAAAAGAGAGTGAGGTAAAGGGCTGACTTTGTGGTTGAGGCCCATTGTTGATATTCACAGTTGAACTACTTAAAATTGTCAAGTGGAACATATAAAGTGGATTATTAATAATGTACTGTATAAATTCATAGAATGTGGCCTTGACCAGGATCTAACAACAGGATGTTTTAATCCATGAAGCAATATTTTATATTCCAAACTATATTATTGATCCTTATCTAAACTCCATACCGCTTTAAACATAGTTTTTTAAAATAAAACGTATTAGCCTTTATGTGTGGTCATATAATATTAATTTAACTCATTTTTTTAGCAAGCAAATAAGGTGCTGCACAATGAACATTTTCTCTGTATATCACTTTGGGTTCTTTGTTGCATTGATGGTCCCATAAATAAATAAATGAATATGGTTTAGTTTGCAGTTTGACACCTGCACCTGAGATTCTATAAACCCTTGGCAAAGACTTTTCTACTTGCTGAAATCTCCACAGATGTGTGGTAGGGTCTCAATTCAGTCCCACTCCAACAGCTGGCCAATTTGCCACATGAGAGTTTAAATATACAGCATTAAATATGGCAATATCAATAAAAAGCATTTCATTTTGCTGAGTCGCCAACTCTATTTTGATGACAGCACTGGGATGGCTGTATATTTAGCCACAGAGGGAGAAGGAGCTCAGTATTTATGGCTGGAAACACTGGAGAGTCTCCAGCGCTGAAATTTATAGCCATAAAATTATACCAAATATAATGAAACTGCCCTGTCATGATTGTGTGCCAACACAAACCAACACTCAAACACATCTGCACATAGTGCACGTGTGTATTCTTATGTAATGCATCATGCTTATCCTAAGTCTACATATCCTA